GTACCCAAGCACATCTGTGAAGGACATTTTCTTGTTTGTCAACATGCTGACCTGTAAACCGACACTGACATTGTCAATGAAAGTTGCAAATTAGCGTCAATCCACGCAAGACGAATGCGACGGACGCAATGGTGATAAATAGCTTTACGGGGTGAGGACGTTTCCTGATGGCAGAAATACACAGGAGGAAACCACTTAATCTCGAGAGATAGATGGGGATGTGGTTTTAAGATGCGGCTGGTGAAGACTGGTTTCAAGATGCACGTGCAAAAAACATGTCATCATGTTTCCATGTTGTCCTAACAGCAGTCCTGAGGCTATGCAGCTGGTCATATAGATGTTGGTTGGTGGCTCCAGGAGGAAGTTGCTTTGGAGTATGTATTTGTCCCGTAATGAAGAACTATGCTAAGTGGATTGCATTGGTTTTTTACACTGTGCATTACATCCATTTTTTGGAAGTGTACAAGGGAAGCTTGTCCCCATCAAATCAGCACCATAACGGATCATTTGTAAAGCCTCGGCAGACTCGTTTGGAGAGCGGTCTCATGTTTAATGAACATCTTACATGTGCATTCCCCCTGAAGCTGAGCTAATTAACCTTATTATTCAAAGGGCAGCATACATTTTCCCTCGCCAATCTCTTCGTTTATCTAATTAATCTACGTACGTTATTTTTTCTTGATCCAACAATTATTCCCTTAAGAGATCGCATTAGAATTAGGAACTGGATTGTTGCACAATCAGGACACACACTACAGGAACACAGCAATTGGCATCTCTCTGAAGGCAGTGTCTTATTAAGTTATGTTTTGCCATTTCACGTTTCTCTGCGGGGCTGCCCCAATTGCCAGACGCATTACCTATTCCAAAGGGAGCCATTCTCCATCCAGAAAACCCTTATTTCATTAGCCCAGAAAGGCCTGTAATGAGAATAGAGCTTTGTTTCACGTGCCTGGGCTTCTCTCTGCTTCCTGCTAGTGACAGCTGGATCTCACGCTTATGTGAGCCTGATATTTTACGTCTTTTCCAAAACTCTCTAAAAAATAATTCCTACACAACATGCCAGAGCAACTGAAACTGTGCCAATAAGCTAACTTTTATCTCTATCTCTATCTATGTGTGTTATGTGGGGAAATCTTTTTGCTGACATCATGCAAAGCCTATTTTGTACGTCACATAGTCCTGATTTTAAAAATGAATCCATCGCACACCAAAATATAATGCACAGTATATGCATTACGTTCTCTACTTAGTTATAAGTGCCACTGATTAGAGTAAAGTTTCTACTTCCAAGGAAAGTTTATTTTTCTTTTGTCTGTCAAGTCAAATATTACTGCCTGTACCTGTGCCTATATAAAGAAAAATAATTTATGTTTGGGTTACAACACTAATACACTGCAGTTTTTCAAAATTGTAAATAAAACAAAGATTTTTGGAGTACGTTCTACAAGAAAGTCCAATTTGAGTCTTTCTACATAAAAATGTCATTTTTAATTCAATGTGTTACTTGCCAATTCTTTGTAATAATTGTGAAAATTCTTTCAAACACTATAATTCTTTCTCCCAGTGTAACAGTTTTAACATGGTAATCAGAAGTGGGCCATTCAGAAGTTTTACTAACTTGATTACCATGAAATCTAATTTGGGTACATTAGGATCCAAAACGCATTATACATAATACTAATGGTAATAGGCAGATGGGTTGCTTCAGAACAGCATGTATTACAAAAGATAGTGTCAGTAAAGAGATTTGTATTGCATTTTTACATTGCATATTTTGTAATTCAGTTCTGCATGTGCCACACTGTAAATAGCTTTCAGCACTGAAACTCATTTGCAGTTTAGCCCCTGTGTCTGCGATGCCTTATTGAGCTGCTTACGAGTGCAGAATACTGTGTCCTGTTAATATTTGATCTGAAATGAAGTGCACGACACTTACAGTACACACATGCTGCAGACACCCGTGTGAAACAGGCCTTGCTCTATGGAGAGATGTCCCATTTTCATTTATTGCAAATTTAACCACATTATTTAAAGTATGCCACTGCCTGATCACACTTTACATTGTAGTGTCCATGTTGTAATTACACTCATAAGAAATGATCTGTGCGTTTTATTGCTTTTTCTGCACTATGTGGCAAAAATCAGTGGAATTGTGTGGAATGGCTGCATCCCATACATTGTTGTTGACGTAAAATGTTGGTAACGCTTCCTTTTACAGTACAGTACTGACATGTACTTACAGTGTACTTACCTAGAAAGTACTGGCTAATATAAGGTAAGTACATGGGTTAGGTTTAGGGGGAGGTTCAGGGTTAGTACCTAGTTATTACCCAGTAATTGTAATTACTATAATAAGTACATAGTATGTACATGGGTAACAGGACTGTAAAAGGAAGCGTTACCAAAATGTTCTGCGTCTTTTCAAGTGGTACTTAGGCATTCATTAGATAAAAGTCAGTCAAATAAGGCCTTCTTGATTTACTTATTTGAAGAAAAACAGAAAATCAAATTCATTTGTAACAAGGATACATTATTTTTATTTTATACCATGTTTCTGTCTGAATGCTTGATTCTAATTGGCTGGAAGATGTGCATTAAAACCGTTTACACAGACGTCACTCACACACCGAGATTGGAGATCGTCCTATGCCTTGTTTGTGAAACCAGAGGTTATTGTAATGCATTATAGTAATGCGTAATACTTATAGCATTCACATTGCAATGCAAATTATGTTAATTAGTAGTATTTCTTTTGGCTAAACTGCTGAACTGGGCTTCCAGTTTGTTACCTCACACTGCAGGATTGTAGAGCGGCAATCATAACTGCTCCGCTATCTGCAACCAGGATCAGCTTTATCTAAAGCAGACCCACAGTGTTGTGTTTGCAGTGTTTGTCCGCTCTCTGATTGACAGCTTGTCACTCCTCCTTTGTGGTGATACTGAGCGCGCTCCGATAGCATCTCTCCCATTCAGCTCAGCACCTCTTTGATCCGTGGAGGGGCGTGGCTTAACCGGCTCCACCCACTTCAGGTCTCTGCGGTTCAAGATGGTGGAGATAGAGACACAAAAACCCTGTGTGTGTGCTTTTACATTTCTGGAAAGGAAGACCGGTAATCTAAAGACACATGAAGTGTTGATTTGGAAATCCATGTTTTATATTTTAAATTCCTTGTGGACCACATCACATATATATTCGCATTCATAAAGATTAAAGCCTACTCTGTTTGCATAAATATATATCTGATTGAAATATACAGCTTGATCTTGGGTTAAAAAAGGTATTTGCAATCAACAACAATTTTTACAAAAGTTACCCAGCCTTAAGGTGCAGCATTTATACCCTCAAAGTCGACAAATGTGTTTTATTTAGTTGGTTCTGTGCACAATACACTTTCTGCACTGAATCCCACAACATATTGGAGCCCTTAATATTATGCAGATTCCGAAGTTCTGTGCCAACTTTCCCGTTCCAAACCCGAATTATGCCTGGCATCAAAACATTCTCAATCCAAAAAAAGGCAGAAGATTCCAGTTTGTTTTCCAAGCTTTGATTCCTGTGGTGCAGAACGTTAGGAGTGACCGTGATGCCATAATGTGCCTTGATCACCAATTATAGTGTTGGCACTCTTCCTCAGACGGAGATCTGTGGCGTTCTTTTAAAACCAACTGACTTAAACAATGACGTAACTGACTGTGTTACCAAAAAATACCCCAAAAAGATTCATGCCACTGCCACGTCATGGTCTTTGTTTATGAGTCTTACTTTTGAGAACGTATTCTAGCATCCAAGTAACCGAATTAAGGCTCCGATATACTTCAGGCGAAATTTAAGAACAAACTGGTGTCATTTCGCAAAAAACTAAATAAAAATCAGGCCACAAAGAAGTTCGTTTGGAGTTCGTTTTGGAAGTTCAAAACCGCTTGCCAAAGCTCCAGCTGTTAAACGCCTTCGAACCACCATTGGTCCATGGTGATGATGTAATAGGTAGGTGTGGCTCTGCAGCCCCGCCTTTTTTGACATGGAAATCTCCAGTTCAGTCGTCTTTATGCCAACACTGGCTTAGATGTAAGGGTCAGATATTATGCAGTAGTACGGAACAAGTCACTAGCCGCGTTTCCATTACAGATTTGCATAAAACTTTTGCAGTATTTTCTATTTGTCGATTAAAAAACTATTGCGAAATGACAGCGTTTCCATTAACTGATGTTCTGCGACTAAAACGTCATTTTTTTCCTCTTGCGATAAGTCCTTCCAAAAATCATGGCACGGACACTGGTAGGTTTATGTATATCTCAGCCACCACTAGCTATTATTTTTAATGGAAGGAGACATAGGCGTATTATCCAACATTAATGGCGAGGAAAGCCCCTTAATTGTGAGCAGCACATATTCCCATAATACTCTATGAGTTTAACAAAGAACTCTGTCTGATCTTCTGTTCAAACATACCGCGGCTTCTTTAAAGAATGATCGACTTTTACGAACGCCAAGTGATCTGTAAATGCGCAAAAACTGTTTCGAAAAAAATATTCCTTTTTCGAATTGCCTGAAAAACCACATACGAGCATTTTTTTGGGGTTTTTTTGCGATATATAGGAGTTTTTGCGAACCTGCCGTGTTTCCGTTGGGCATATTTTCAATTCGCAATTTCAATTTGCGCAATTTGAAGAGTAATGGAAACACGGCACCCCTTACTGTCGTCAGCAGCAGTCAATGGTGTCTTGTTAACAGCGCCATGTCTGCTTTGAAATTGTAATATCTTGAGATTTGGTCACATGGTAGAGTAGTTACTTCCTGGAGGATGTAGAATTGACTCTTTGATCCTCTTATAACATTTTGCTGTTGTATTATATATCAGTGTGAAGTAAAATATGTATCTTATTTTCTTCCTAATAATTATTTATCTGTTTGTTCACATTAAGCAGATGTGTTTGGATGTCTATCAGTGAGTTGTTTTCTGAAAGTCTGCTGTTTGTCTGTCCTTGTCTGTCTTCAGGTGAGCGGCCGTATCAATGCCCATACTGTGACAAGGCCTTCAGCAAGAACGACGGCCTTAAAATGCACATACGTACACACACTCGGGTAAGTCTACACGCATACATGGACACATTTACTTACACATGTTCTTCCACCTCTCCATCTCTCTCTCACTGATTTTTCCATTGCCTTTGCATTACTCTGCTTGTGCATGTGTGTGAAAGATCTTCTTAGTTAAAAAAAACATGCAATTTGAGTTGTGAAGCATTTTGTCTCACAATCTGGTGTTTTCAGTGTCTCGAATCGAATCAGTTTGGGTCACTTATAATGTGCATTTGAAAATGTACCAACCATCTTCCCAAATTCATTTTGAGAATCCTATATAAAACCTGTTGTTTAAATCCAAAAGAGAAGTGCTAAGGTCTCCCTGTGGTTTTCCTCCAAAATAAAAGCGCTATGGTTTAACTTTTGAAAGCAAAGAAATTAAGATAGCCATAAATATTAGTATTGTAATTTTATTGTTGTTCTGTAAAATGAAATGATTATTATTAGTAGTAGTAGTATTACTATTATTATATTAAATACTCAGTTAATATTCATTACTATAATTATCAAATATATTTTTTATTTTACAATACGTTTTTAATTTACAAAAGTAATAATTTGAGATAAAACATACTACTAGAGTTTGGGAACCCCTGCTATTTCAATAGCAACATATCTTTATTTATTTGTTTAATACGTATATTTTAATACACTAAATAATAAGAATTAATGGATTCCTTAAATTATTTTGTGAATGTGGCCTGAAACGCTACTGTGGTAAGTACACACAAAGACGAAGATTCAAGTAGACAGTCTTTATTATCATCCAAAATACTGAGGAGAAACACATGAGGTCAAGCAGGGATTAACGCTAACCACACAAATCATAAACGAAAACCCATAAGGGATTGAACATAACAGGGAGTATATACACTATACAAGGCGAACATAATGAGAGACAGGTGCAAATCATAAATAACCATAGAAACAAATTAGGACATAATCAGTAACCAGGGAAACGTCTCGGTTACGGATGTAACCCTCGTTCCCTGAGTAGGGAACGGAGACGTTACGTCGGATGACGGAGAATGGGGGTTTCGCCAGAAAGCCAATCCTCTTCGAGTATTAAAAAACGAGCCAATGGCAATGAAATGCCATGGGTCTGCGGAATTTGCATAATGTATCTCCGCCTCACCGCGTGAGTATTTAAGGAGAGACACCTGCAACAGCAGATCATGTCTTCGCTGAGGAGCCGAGACTGAACTCAGGCGTCGACCCAGCGGTACAGCGGAAGTGGCACGGAGACGTAACGTCTCCGTTCCCTACTCAGGGAACGAGGGTTACATCCGTAACCGAGACGTTCCCTTTCGTAGTCACTCCGAGTTACGTCGGATGACGGAGAATGGGGGTCCCCGTGTAATCACGCCACCTTCACAGCTGTCTTCCAGTGCCCTGCGCAGTCTGACCTCCCTGTCGTGATATAGGCACGGACGAAGGAGTCCTACTTAACACAGGAATACCAAGGTACACTGGGAAGCATATCTCAGGGGAGATATGCCGCAGCATGCCTACCCGTAGGGAGGACTTAAGAATACACATATGGCCCGAGGGGGCTTCATATGGAGGAACACTGGAGTGACCAGCCCGTAGGGTGGCATCTACTTTCAACTCCAGGAGTGGCAGGTGACTTGCCGAGGGAAAGACACATGCTCAAAGAGGCTTACAGTGGAAAATACACATGTGGGGGTTACTCAGAGGAGGAACCATGCACACGGAGGCACCTAGCCGACGCACAGGCAATAGACACTGGCGCCAGCGTCAACAGCGCTGGAGGAACTCAGGGCTTCAGAGGGGAAGGCTCACCTGAGGAAATATCGCACGTATCCAGTCCGTGGAGTGGAATGGCGAGCAAGCGAGACACTTAACAGCTCCCATGTTAGCTTGAAAAAGACAGTACATGGGCGGAGACTGGCTCCACTCGGAGATTGTAGAATCTGGCGAATGTGTTAGGTGTCGCCCAGCCTGCAGCTCTGCAGATGTCTGTTAGCGAGGCGCCACGCGCTAAAGCCCAAGAGGACGCCACACTCCGGGTGGAGTGGGCGGTCACACCAAGGGGGCATGGTCGACCTTGCTGCTGGTATGCCAAAGCAATGGCGTCCACTATCCAGTGAGACAACCTTTGTTTGGAGAGAGCCTTTCCCTTCAGCTTCCCACCATAACAGACAAAGAGCTGGTCTGAGGTCCTGAAACACTGCGTCCTGTCTACGTAAGCACGGAGTGCGCGTACTGGACAGAGCAGTGCCAAGGCTGGGTCTGCCTCCTCCCGGGGCAGCGCTTGCAGGTTCACCACCTGGTCCCGGAAGGGAGTGGTGGGAACCTTGGGCACATATCCGGGCCGGGGTCTCAGGATCACGTGAGAGAGGCCGGGCCCGAACTCCAGGCACGCTTCGTCAACGGAGAATGCGTGCAGGTCCCCTACCCTCTTGATGGAGGCCAACGCAACCAGGAGCGCTGTCTTCATTGACAGGATCTTAAGCTCAGCTGATTGCAGAGGCTCAAAGGGAGCCCTCTGCAGGGCACTTAAGACCACTGAGAGGTCCCAAGAGGGAACGAGAGGAGGGCGAGGAGGATTCAGTCTCCTCGCTCCTCTCAGGAACCTGAGGATCAGGTCGTGCTTTCCAAGAGACTTACCTTCAACTGCTTCGTGATATGCGGCGATAGCGGCCACATACACCTTCAGGGTGGAGGGAGACAGCCTTCGCTCCAACCCGTCTTGCAGGAAGGAAAGCACAACGCTGATCGAGCATCTCCTGGGGTCTTCTCGGCCAGAAGAGCACCAGTTAACGAAGAGGTTCCACTTCAACGCATAGACATGTCTCGTGGACGATGCTCTAGCGGAAGTGATGGTAGCCGCCACCGCTGGTGGCAGGGTACTCAAACCTGCCTCGTCCCGTCCAGGAGCCACACGTGGAGTCTCCAAAGATCGGGACGAGGGTGCCATAGGGTGCCCCGTCTCTGAGAAAGGAGGTCCTTCCTCAGAGGAATTGGCCAAGGAGGTGCTGTCGCGAGGAGTATCAGTTCGGAGAACCAGGTCTTGGTGGGCCAGTATGGGGCGACCAATATGACCTGCTCCTCGTCCTCCTTGATCTTGCACAGAGTACGTGCGAGAAGGCTCACTGGGGGAAACGCATACTTGCGTAGGCCCTGCGGCCAGCTGTGCGCCAGTGCATCCGTGCCGAGCGTGCCCTCGGTCAAGGAGTAATACAGGGCGCAATGGGACGAGTCGTGGCAGGCAAACAGATCTATCTGTGCGTCCCCGAACTGGTCCCATATCAGCTGGACCGACTGGGAATGGAGTCTCCATTCGCCAGAGGTTGGCCGGAGCCGTGACAGCTCGTCGGCTGCAAGGTTCCGCACTCCTGGAATGTAAATAGCACGAAGGGACCTCAGGTGCTTCTGACTCCATAAGAGGAGGTGGCGTGCGAGTTGCGACATACGGCGAGAGCGTAGACCACCCTGACGGTTGATGTACGCTACAGTCGCAGTATTGTCCGAGCGGACAAGTACGTGTTGACCCAGGAGCAACGCGTGGAAGCGGTGCAGGGCAAGGCGTACTGCCAGCAACTCGAGGCAATTGACATGCATGAGGCGCTGGGGTCCTGTCCAGGAGCCCGCGGCTGCATGTCCATTGCACATGGCGCCCCAGCCCGTGGCAGAGGCATCTGTGGAGACGACAACATGCCTGGAAACTCGTTCTAGGGGAACTCCGGCCCGTAGAAAGCTGAGGTTCCGCCACGGGGTGAAGGTCTGACGGCAGGTCGGAGTTATTGGAACTCTGAGCGTACCGCGATGCCATGCCCACCTCGGGACCCGATCGCGAAGCCACAGCTGAAGCGGTCTCATATGAAGCAATCCGAGTGGCGTTGCCGCGGCTGCGGATGCCATATGCCCCAGGAGCCTCTGAAAAAGTTTCAGTGGGACCGCACTCTTGCCCTCAAACTGTCGAAGACAAGTCAGCAGTGAGTGTGCGCGCTCGCTCGTAAGCTGCGCGGACATGGCGACCGAGTCTATCTCCATACCGAGAAAAGAGATCCTCTGCACGGGGCAAAGTTTGCTCTTCTCCCAGTTGACCCGAAGGCCCAGACGGGCTAGGTGCCGGAGCACAAGGTCTCTGTGTTCGCAAACCTGATCTCGAGAATGAGCTAATATTAGCCAGTCGTCGAGATAATTCAGGATGCGAACCCCGTGTTCGCGTAGGGGAACAAGGGCTGCCTCGACGACCTTCGTAAAGACGCGAGGAGACAGAGCCAACCCGAATGGGAGAACCGCGTACTGGTATGCCTGCCCCTCGAAAGCAAACCGAAGAAACGGTCTGTGTCGAGGTAAAATGGAGACATGAAAGTAGGCGTCCTTCAGGTCTATTGCTGCAAACCAATCCTGTGGCCGCACGCATTCGAAAATGCGTTTGGCCGTAAGCATCCTGAACGGCAGCCTGTGAAGGGAGCGGTTCAGGACGCGCAAGTCCAGGATTGGCCGTAACCCACCGGTTTTCTTGGGGACAATGAAGTAGGGGCTGTAGAACCCTGACCTCATCTCGGCTGGAGGGACAGCCTCGATTGCACCCTTCGCCAGCAGGGTAGCAACCTCCGCTCTCATGATCGGGGCATTGCCACCGACCATAGTAAAGCGGACTCCCCTGAAGCGGGGAGGAGACCGTGCGAACTGAATCGCATAGCCGAGCCTGATAGCTCGGGCGACCCAACGGGACAGATTGGGGAGCTCTAACCAAGCCCCCAAAAACTGATCCAGCGGAATCATCCGAGCCACAGGCGTCCCCCCGGAGGGGCAGCGAGGCGGAGTGACCGGCACAGGCAAGGGTGGCATAGCGGCCCTGAGCGTGTGCACAGCCAAGCTCCGCGCCCTGACAGAGGAGACCAGGGAAGGACCAGCGTTCCACGGGGGTCTGCTCTGCCAGGGGTCTGGCGATAGAGGGGGATGAGAGTGGTGTGGTCCGGGGACGGCACGCACTGTCATCCTCGCCCTCAGAGACAGAGGAGGAC